GATGCAGCTCCCAGATCCTTGCTCAGCAGGGAGCCTGCTTCTCCCTACAGCCTGCCGCTCCCCCTGCTCGTGTTCTCACTCTCTCTCTCTCTCTCTGTCTTTCTCTCTCTGACAAATACATAAATACAATCTTTAAAAAAATAAATAAAAATAAAAAGCAAAAAACATAATGAGCAAACAGACCCCAAAACACTATTCTGGCTAAACCCAATAAATTGGTCAGTTGAATGTCTTTGTTTCTGTAACCACACAGAGACAGTGAGTGTTGCAAAAGTTATGCAGTCCTAGGGGCCACAAGTCTTGGTTCTAACATTTCCTAGTTGTCAACTTTGGGATTAGATATTTGGTAAAAACATACCTGATGAGGATTAAATAAAATCATCAATTTGAAAATACTTTGGTTAACTGTAAATTGCAATGAAAATGTTAGCTGTGTGTCTATATACATAACTGATGGCTGGTAAATGCAGGTCACCAACAGGGCTTCCACTATTTGTGGTTTCTTTCATACCGATTTGATTTAATTAGCAGCTAGGCGAGAAGGCACACCTTTTTATTATAAGACCTGTGATTATATTACCAACCTTTTTTCTTTTAACTAGAACTTACTGTTACTGTTGTTTAGACCCCATGTGACAAAGAGCTGGTGCTGGGATAATTCTTTCTCTCCTATTCTCCTATAATCCTTTGTGCTGTCATCCTGTGAAAAAGGTGATATCAGATAATAAACTCTTGGTGGGACTTATTTGTGACATTTGGGAAAATGAATTCAGGAGTTATTAGATAATATGTCATGGGATTTTCCCACCCAGGAACAAAGATTTGGCTATTTTTTGATTTGAGTACTAAGGGTCCTCCTTTGTTAAACAAAAGTAAATAAGTAAATGTAAATCTTATAGTTGGACGTGGTCAGACATTTAAATGTCATCTTACCACAGGTTTGTGTTATTGAGAATGTATTGAGTATCTGACTCCAGATACTCAATTTCTTTGAAGCCGGGAATATGAACTGTTTTTGGTTTTGTTTTGTTTTGCCATAAAAGTTCTCATTTCATTTAGGTATGGGAAATCTCATGGCCCTGTCTCTTACTGTGAACTTTGTCCCGGTGTACTAGTACTTTTATTTTAAAAAGGTTATTTCCTACTTGAACTTGATTCTCCTCTGTTTAGCAAAAAAGCTCTCTTGTGTCTGGGAAATCTTAATAAAAGATGTTGTTGTAAGAGCAGGGGAAAATTATCATACTGATTTACTCTTTACAATTTCCTTTTTTCTTTTTTTTCCCTCTAATTTTTTTTTTTTTTTTAAATTACTGGAGTCAGACTTTTTGAATCTCAGGCATTTGATTAATCAAGTCTTTTAAAAATGTTTCCTTTCATCTTTTGGAATAGTGTTGTCTCTGCAGTCCCTCTACTTGATAATTGCCAAATTAATATTTTGGCTTAGGCCTGCAACATTCATCAACAGTTCTCCATTTGTTGCATTAAACCCAAAATTCTTTACTTCAGTGTAATGTGGAAGGGAATGATTGGATTTGGGGATAAGCAGGGAGGAGTATAGGAGATAATTAAAATTTGATTCAATTCATTCTTTCCCTGAAATGCATTTAGGCAGAAAACATCATAGTTTCTTTGCTTTTGCTGAACTTCAAGGAATCCTAGGGCACCCCTTTCACATTTCTGAGCTGGTTTCTCCAATGACATGGCTTCCTGATAGTCTTTAACAAGTCATTTGCTGTGATTTCAGCTTGCCATGAAAATATGTGGAAGAACACCAGCATAATAATAAAACTAAATTGTTAAATTCAGCATTTATTTAAATTAGATATTACACATTCAATTAAACTTTCTTGCTGAAAAAATCTAATGACTTGTGAAAAAAAAGGATTGAAACTATACATGTATTTCTGTGAATGTTTGGAATGTTAGAGAACTTCTTGACTTACTTGTTAAGTGTTTTAATTTTCTGAATTTCTGGTTGTCAACCAAATATGTTACCTGAAGATTTGCTAAATTTTCGTTAAGAAGTAGGGTCCTCAGTTTTCTAATTGTCTTGTAATATTTATACCAGATATTTGAAAGACTATTAGGCTGCTTCAGCAACCTAACTGGCTTGTAAGAAAATAGACTTTGCGACATTATGGAGCGAAATCTGATTTTTAGTTCATTTGAACCAGGTGTTGGGGGTATAGCTCAATGGTAGAGCATTTGACTGCATTTGAACCAGGTTTTGAACACAACTGAAGATTACTATTCACTCCTTTAGAGGAAGAGCCGAAAATGGAAATGAGCTTTGGGGGTATACAGTGGTGTAAATATCCAGCTGGGAATGTGAATTTTCCATTTAGAAAAGCCTCAGAGGACAGCAACACCTCTTCCCACTACCACTCCTCCTCCCCCAACTATCTCCATCCCACCCCATAAAACCTGAATATTTAAAGAATGCTTGTTACTAAGATTCACTACCAGAGATTAGTCTTTTCATCTTTAGATGGAACCTTCTTCCCACTTCTCTTTTGGAGATCACCTAGACCTGAGTCTAGTAACCCAGAGGACCTTCTTGTAAGGATGGTTTTGCCAGGTAACGAGAGCCTTGATGTTGGCTTCTTCACTGGCTCATCTTGGATATTTAGAGGTGACAGGCTCAATTAATTATTAACTTCATTTCTAGCTCTGCCTGTTATTTTATCTCCACTGTCAGTCTGCTTTCCTACTAAGGGCTCACCAGGGCATTTGGAAGGGGAAATTGACCTAGAAGTTAACATCCCCCTATCTGGGATATGATGGGATTTTCTTTTCTCTCCTTCCCTACTTTCCATCTTTCTTACTTCCCACCCTGCCCCATATCCCTTGGGATTAAGACAATCTCTGGTGAAATAAAGAGCTGGAAACTTGATGATCATAACAGCTCAAAATTGTGGAGATGGTCCTTTGTCTTGGAGATAGTCCACTCTTCAGAAATAGAGATTTAAAGCTTTCTCACAGAAATACACAATGAGAGCCATGTTGTTTGAAACAATGGGCAAAACTTCAAGGTTGGAACAGAGTGACCTAGTCGGTCCTAGAGAAATAGAAAGACCCAGGACATCATGGGGTTTGAGGAGGTGAGAAGGAGAAAGGACCAGAGAGAATGGATTTCTGAAGTGGATTCTATAAGGGCTGAAGCACACTCCATGGAAGAGGTTCTTTTTGGAACCATGGAAAAGTACCTTGAGTCACTTTCTGGTGTAGGTGTGTGTTCATGATCAGGGAGTTGTAAATTGGTTTCATTTCAGATCATGGACTGCACCTGTACATACTTGCTGACATTACATGTGAAACTCTGAAATTATATACAAATATAGGAAGATTCTAGCTTTGTATGAAACAGTACTTACTGGCAGAATCTGTGTGTTTTGTTTTGGAATGAACACCTGAGTCAGTGTTGTAAAGCTATTAGGAGCCGGAAATTCAATCACTCCCCTCTCCCCACCGCCTTTTTTTTAGTCAGATTTGGAATCTTTGTTTTATAGATAGTCAGGCTCCATAACCAGATTATGTACAAGTTGCATTTTGTAGAAGACACTTCCCACTGGTTTGCAAGAAGCAATTTTCCTTTTGGGAAAAGTCTTTTTTCTGGGAATGAAAGTGTGACAGCTCTGCTTGAATTCTGCCCCAAACCAATGTATCTTAAATTGTAGGAACTGAAATAACATTCAGCAGGAATACCACCTGTGTTAAAATGCATGTTCCTGGGGACTAAAATCAAAGACCAGAAATTTGAATTCTTGCTGTTTACTCATGCTCTGTAAATTTGAGAGCCTTTGTTAAGGAGCGTTAATCAGGTTTACTCTGTGTTAAATTCTCTCTTCCATTTCTTATCTCCCTTCCATTTGAGGAGATTCATGTGTGTCTATGAACTCTTGCATTATAAAAGTAGTGGTGATTCTCATGTTTGCTGTGATATTTCTGACTTCTATTGTTGTCTCTGGTAGACAGAAGAGTTTCAGGGAGTATTTGTTGAACTGGTCTAATTAAATCAAGAAGTAGTGATGTAGTCAGACTTATGGGAGAGCTAGAGCTGTTTGCCTGAGTCATTCTCTACTAGCCCAGTAAGAATTAAGTCCCAAAGTCTTCCCCAAAGTTAGTGCCTAACTGCTCCCTTTGTGTGGGAAATAGTTTACTTGAAGGGGATGCGTGAAAGAGGAATGGGATACAATTCCTTCTAGCCCATTAATTACAGGGTAGCTTTCCTTTGCCCATCCTTTATTTTTCCCAACATAATTTTGTGCTGTCCGCACCTCCTTGATACAACAATAACAGAAGAGTATATTTTGTTTTGGTCTGAGTTTTGGTCCAACAGGAAAAATCAGTGTTGTCTGTTTTCCCAAGGAGATGTTGTCCCAGGACACTTTTCCCAAAGGACCACAGTGCTGATTCACCCATTCTTTATTTATTTTTATTGCTTTAATTTTATTTCACTTCTCCGCTTGCTAAATGCTAATCAGAGACATGCCATACAGAAATATAGTCTAGAGGACATGAAAAAACAGACCTCATGGCTGTTTACTCTGCTGGTAATGATTCTACTCTTCGGTACCCCCATTTTTCCCAGTTTGAAGTTTGCCTTCCATGACAGTTTTCTGTCCACAGGTGAGCTGCTTATGGATACAGGTATGGTGCCACCTTGCAATGTGACAAACCTCTGATAAGACAATGAAACTATGTTCTTTGACCATCAGTCTAGCTGTGTGTTTTTCTTTGTCCCGTGGTTATCTGGGATATCTAAAAACATAGTATTCTGCAAGTGTGTAGGTTACCTGATGGCTGATGTCTGAAGGGCAAGTATGCAGGAATTACTCCTAAAGAATCCCTTTTGTTTTGTTTCCTTCCAATACAAAAGTTATGGGATCTATTCAAACCCATCATCTTGAACTTGAGTTTGCTACTGGGGAGACTAACTGGGTTCTGGACTTTACGCTGGCGACACTTAATAAACATTTATTTTTTCTTACTAGGAATCCTTACATATCTTCATCAGAGACCACAGGGGTGACACTATTATTAAAGAAAATTGGGGCTTCTTGTAAACATTCTGGAGTGTCCTCAACCTCTTGGAAGGGCTGGGATCCCCGCTCAGCTTCCAGCTGCTGAATTTTCCTTTCCTTTTCCTCTAAAACATCTTCCAGCTGGGTGATCTTCTCAGTCTGAAGGGAAACCTGCGTCGACAACTCCATAATCAGGTTAATTTTTCGATCACCTTCTTCCACAGGCGGGAGACCACCACAGGACTCTTCCCGAGCATTGTCTTCTAGAGCAAAGAAGAAAAAGAAAGTCTGAGCAGTTTTAATTGCATTTCCCAGAACTCAAAAGAGAGGGAAGATGAAAAAGCTTTATTTCTCACGTTCTTAAAAGGGAACTCAGAGGTTGCGTCATCTGGTCAGATAGACAGAGAATGGAATCTGGATCCGGTGAGGGGAAAGTTTCTGGGTGCTCATGAAAAAAGAACTTGGAAGCCTCCAGAGAGGGAGGAGAATCAGTTTTTGCCAACTCTTTTTTGTACACATTGAACTTTTAATTAACCATGGGAATGAGCACTCCTTGAAAATCCAATCTATAAACCACAGCCATCCCAAGTTTCACAGTATCCTTTTGCCTAAGAATCTTTCACGAGAGTGACTATCAAGTAGAGATATACTTTAAAATTGAATTTTCACTCAACTCGGAAAACAAAAAAAAGTTGTTATTCCCCATTCTGGAGGATGTGATGAGAAAAGACTAGTTCCTTAACCCAAGTCAGCTTTACAGTTGGCAGGGGTGTAATTTGAGGTGATCCAGGAAAAGCTATTAGCATGGTATGTGCCATTGAGATTCTTTTTTTAAGGTCTGAAGCTTTTTCAGCATCTCTTAATAAAAATTACCAGTATCTCCTAGAGGGAAAAGCTTATCCTTTATAACTTCTGACCCCTCAGATAAGGATAAAAACCTGAGGAAAGAGGGAGAAGGAGGCTCCAATAAGGAGATAAAATTTTGGTGGCTGACAGTAGGGAAACCTAAAAAAAAGAAGTCCCAGTAGACCATCAAAAAATGTAGCTGCTAAAAGCAAACCTCATCCTACTGGGGTTTAGTAGGATCACCCTCCTTTACCACTCTCATCCTGGAATTTCCACCATTAAAATCACGTCTCTATGTTACATAAAGTGCAGACATTAGTTGTAAGTAAGGGTTGTCAATTGCTTGGGTGTCATTGTAGAAATAATGGAGCTAATAGCGTATGAATGAATGGTATTGACAGCCGATTACTGTGGTTAAAGGTCCAACATTTACTCAGTCCTCAGTGAACGCAAACCCCACAGCTGCACCCTAGGGAAATCTAACTGCAGGTCCAGGAGACAGATGCCTGCTACTATTGTGTGAAGATGGGGCAGCTTTGCTGTGATGGCCCATGCAGGCAGGGAATCACTCACTTCTCAGCAAATAAAAACTCATTTTTGTTTGTTTGTTTTCTAATTTCCCCCAAGGGATCCTGGGATGAAAGCTTGAACACAGACATGCACAGTGGCCAGGATGCTTTGGGCCTCCCAGAAGTGATGAGAAGGAAGATCAGGATGTTCTCTGCTCTTAGCAGTTGTGCTTAGTGATGTCCTACATTTCGAGAATCCGGGGGGGATGTTTTTGTTCTGAAGATGGGAAATTTTAACACTAATACTGAAGGAGATGGTAGTTTGCCTGCCTTTCTTTACAAGCTATGAAAAAAATCTCCATATCTCAAAGGAGCATGTAGTTTGTTGTCTGAAATGAGATGTACTGTGAATATAAAATACACATTTGATTTTGAAGGCTTAGTGTGAAAGAAATATGAACTATCTCATTAGATTTTAAAAATTGGATATGTGTGAAAACAATATTTTGGATCTGTTGTGTAACATAAGATACATTTTAGGACAATATTCACTCATTTGTTTTTCTTGTTTTAAAAATGTGGCTCCTAGAAAATGGAAAATTTTGTATGTGGCCTGCATTGGTGGCTCTCACTTTTCTGATGGCTGGTCCTGGGCTCGAGTTTCCTTTTGGATAAGCACTTTCTGAAATCCAGGAAGATGGGTTCCTCGTAGGTGGCTCTAGCTAATATGTATGGTTGTTATTTGGGAGGGAGGATTGTTGACTCTCAACTGTTAGCACACAATTCATTTTTCTGTTACTTCCAAAGGTGGAGGTATGGAAATCTGGGCTTGGGAGAGTGGGTTCTTGTGGGTTGAAGTGAGTTTCCATGGGAGCAGAGAGAAAAGACAGAAAGTGGCAACAAGAGGCAGTGAGAAAATAGAAAGGAAAGGAACAGTGGGCAGGATAGGGAAGGCAGGGCCTTCGTGAGGCTCCGGGATGGAGAAGGGCCTCGGAAGCCTCCCTCCTTGTTGGGCCGGCTTGTCCTCTTTCTTTTTCACCTCTTCTTCCGTCTTTTCTTTCTCCAGTTTTTCCTCTCTTTTCAGGAGGAGTTATTTCCTACCAATTTACACGACTAAAAAAGGGTGTTTAGTGCCATTACAGAAGGCAAACTGGTCAAAAGTGTTTGTTTTTAAAAGAATGCAATATAGGTGGAATACTTTGTTCATCTGATTCTAGTGATAAAGGGGTAAAAATGCAGCATGGTGGCATTACCTGGGAATTGCTGTTACTAGGTCTACATCTTCTGTCTCTGCCTCCCAGAGAGAGTAATCGAGAGAGAAGGTAGAGAGAGAATGAGGAAGAGAGACTGGGTGTCTTGGTTAGCTCAAGCTGCCATAACACAATACCAAACCATTGCCAGGGGGCTTGAACAACAGAGATTTATTTTCTCACAGTTCTGGAGGCTGATAGTTTGAGATCCAGGTGCAAGCATAGATGGGTTCTGGTGAGAACTCCACCTGGTTTGCGGAGAGCAACCTTCCCACTGGGTCTTCCCATGGCACAGAAAGAGACCACAAGCTCTCTGATGTTTTCTTCTAAGGTCACTCATCTCATGACCCTACCCTTATGACCTCACTGAAACTTAATCACTCCCAAAGACACCATCTCCAAATGCTGTTGCATTGGGGTTAGGGATTCAACATATTAATTTCATTGGGGACACAATTCAGACAATAGCACAAGTAAAAGACAATTGGAAAAGGAGAGTTAGCACAAGGGCCTTGATTCTCACTGTATTGTTTTCATGTATTAAATGAAAATGCTGATAAGAAGATAAGTTAAAGTGCATCTACATACCAGCTTTTTTAGATTCCTCATTTAAGTGATACCTTATAGTATTTGTCTTTCTCTGTCTGACGTATTTTACCAAGCATAATGTACTTAAAACCTGCCCTGATCGAAAAAGAGTGGAGTGGGATTTACTAAGAGATGGGGGATAGGGAGGGAGGAATTGGAGAGGTATTGGTCAAAGTGTACAAATTTCTAGTTATAAATTCTGAGTAATGTGTAACATAATGATGATAATTAAAAATACTGTACTGCAAATTTGTAAGTTGCTGGGAGAATAGATCTTAAATGTTTGCTCCACAAAATAGAAATGGTAATTCTGTGATGGGATGGTATTCTTAGCTAATTTTGTGGTGGAATTGTTTTGCAAAATACACGTGCATCTCGTGAATACATGGTGCACTTTAAACTTACACCAGGTTTTAGGCCAATTATAATCTCAATAAAACTGGGGAGAAAAAAAGATAAAAAGAAGTATATATACCAAGAAGGAAATTTCTCATACAGATATATTTTACTATTTAATGACCTCTTCACACATACAATGAAAATATTTTTGTTCTGTTTCTAAACATATTACAAATCACAGAAACATTTTAAACTCTTCAATGAAGTGGGGAACTCCAGAATAGGGACTCATATCCTATCTGTAGTGGAAATAGCCCAAGGCCACCCCAGTGATTTGTCCAGACTCCACAACTAATCTCTGCCTGATCTGCTGTGCCCCATTCTCCTGGAGTCAAGGCTCCCTTACCCGAAGCCCCTGACAGTTCTACTCATCCCCACATCTCAAACACTGGTGGTCCTTCCTAGATTTTCATTAGCAGCTCATATAGTCTTGCCAAGGTCACATCTGCCTGAAGCATGGAGGATTCTGTCATCTGACTGGATAATCTCAGGAATGGTTAGCCCCATTCCCAGGGGCTCCAGGAGACACAGAGACAAGAGAAATTCTCCTGTCACAGGGAAGGAGAAAACCTGATTAGCCATAGTCAGGGTATGACATCACAATTGCTACCATTGCAGAGGTTTTTACAAGTACATGCTGTTTTTCATGATTTCCCCTCCTTCCGCTTCAATTTAAAATAGGCGTGAAGCAAGAATGAGAATGATGGCTTAGGGTCATGGTGATGAGGGAATGGGATGTGGCAGTTGTGCAAGGTTAAAAAGGTTTAGAAAGAAGACAGACAACAGGGGCATTCTTTTGCTCACAGCTGGGGCAGGCTGGGCTCACTTTTTGATGTAGCCTTGAAAGACAAAAGGCCCAGAAAAAATTGTGCCATTTGCCTTAGACCATTTCCAGCTTCTCATTCTTTTTTTTTTTTTTTTTTTAAAGATTTTATTTATTTATTTGACAGACAGAGATCACAAGCAGGCAGAGAGGCAGGTAGAGAGAGAGGAAGAAGCAGGCTCCCCGCCGAGCAGAGAGCCCGATGCGGGGCTCGATCCCAGGACCCTGAGATCATGACCTGAGCCGAAGGCAGCGGCTTAACCCACTGAGCCACCCAGGCGCCCCGCATTCTTAATAGCATTAAACCCTTCATGTCTTAGCAAAGTGCTGTATGTGAGTTATATCAAAAATACCAGTAACTAAAGAGATAATAGCAGAGGTCATTATAGTTTGAGTAGCTTAGAGACTTAGACTCAGCTTAGAATTGGTATTTAGGACCATCTGATCTCACCTGCACATTACACCTGAACATCCCTATTAATTAGGGAATTCCATCTGCAACATCCCTAACTGATGCTTTTTTAAGTGGCTCTCAGGCATGAGTGTCTTCTCCTGCTCTTCATAGGTCAACTGCCAGTAGTAATCAATGAGTAAAATTTGCCTTTTATCGTCAGTGTGGCTTCACGTTGTTAGAGAGATACCCGGTGTGTAGAAAGCTGTGATGGGCAGACTGAAGGAGAGCAGGATATGGCTTGTTGCTAATCAGAGAAAGGACATATGGTGTAATACTAGGTTCAAAGACCTAAATCACGTGGAGACATTGCTTTGTGCATCCGGGAAGTTAGTAGTTTCGTGTCCACAGTGATACATCGCTGAAGGGTGACCCAGTGAATGTCTGGGAGGCTTTT